AAAAGAAAAAAAAAGAATGAAAAGAAAAAAAAAAGAATGAAAAGAACAAAAGAGAAGAAAAAGAACAGAAATGAAATGAAAAGAAAAACAGAGCTCACAAGGTTAAAAACTCGGAAGGGCGACCTTGGCAAAAGTTAGAGCACAAAAGGAGAGTGTCAATACTCGAGTGAACCTCAACCGAACTACGTAAGGCTTGATTCCCATCTTTGGGATACGTAGGCAACTTCATTTTGAAGTTCAGCCATACACACTTCCAAATCGACTATGTCTATGTAATGGTTCTGATCATCTTTGTCTTCTCTGGAGAAGAAAAAGAACAAAAATGAAATGAAAAGAAAAACAGAGCTCGCAAGGTTGAAAACCCGGAAGGGCGACCTTGGCAAAAGTTAGAACACAAAAGGAGAGTGTCAATACTCGAGTGAACCTCAACCGAACTACGTAAGGCTTGATTCCCATCTTTGGGATACGTAGGCAACTTCATTTTGAAGTTCAGCCATACACACTTCCAAATCGACTATGTCTATGTAATGGTTCTGATCATCTTTGTCTTCTCTGTATCCGAGAGTTCGATTGTGATCGTCACTTTGAGGACTGATTACAGTGCGCTGTGGTGCCATGCAGACAAGGGCCAACATTCTGTTGCCGTGCGGTGCCATTTAGACAAGGGGCAATTTTTCATTGTTTTGGATCTGAGGTTGTGCATCTCAAGAGTAAATTCCATGTTGGTCGAGCAGTGGCCAGTTGCAAAAATAGTTTTGAGAATTTTTAATGAGGTTGACTAATTGTCTCGAAAATTATTCAATTTTCCCAAAACTGGACCATTTCTTAGATCCAAAAAGAGAAAATTTTCAGTGCTCATAACCTGACTTGCATGATTTCAAATCAGAAAATTGAACAAGCATGTTAATCTAACTCTCATGTTGGTGAAAACTGTTTTAGTAGAAAGAAAAACAAAAATGGTCAAAATGATGAACTAGGGGCACAGTTGAGTCAGGTTTTCTGTTTTTTCCCCATCGTCAACACACTTGCCGGAAAGGGCACTGTACTTGCCAGAAAGGGCACAGCTGAAGCTAACAAGCAAAGGGCAGAAAGCTCTCTCATCCTCCAGGCAGCGAGGTATTAAGCCGAGTGCGAAGCATGAATTGAAAATATAGCGGGATGTTTGACTCCTTCATCTGGATGATCATGCTCAAACTGGCGTCTGACCCGGAATGGGGACGTAGAAAACACAATGTGTGTGAGACCAATCAATTGTATGCCTGGCCAGTGGAACCTGTTGTAGCTCACCTTGATCAAGCTAAGCTAAGTGCATCGTTAACCGATGTCAATTGCAGATCTGCTGCACATCCAGTCATAGCACTATCCCTCTGTAGGAAAGTTCATTGTTGTGAGCCCAAGAAGGAGCATCTAGTAGAATACTAGGGGCAAGAGCCCACAACTTCCTGTTTATCCATCAACCACCCAGGCAAGGGATAAAAAAGAAGAGAGATTGATGAATAGAGAGATGTGCGCTGAGAGAAAAAAGTGAGAAAAGGGTTTTTTTAGAAAACAAGAGATTGAGTGCCAGAGTGATGTGAGAATCACAAATGAGAAGGGGTGGGAAACAATACCTGGAGAAATAGGCTCCCTGTGCACATTTGAGTCGTGTGTTTTGTTGTGTTTTTGTTTGTCTCAATTCTTGTTTTGAGTCGTTTTGAGTGTCAATAGATGTATTTAGGTTGTTTTACCTTTGTTTTCTATTGTTGAGTCATTTTGACTGTGGTCGGTTGTAGGCTCAATACCCGGTTAAGAACTCAGTTCTCAATTTCAAATTCAAAAATGAATCATTTTGTGCTCAAAGTGCTGTGCCATTCTCTACATTTGTGCAAAGCAGGATTTGTTCTCTCATAAAACTACAGGGTTCAACCCAGGTCATGTGAAAACAGTAAAACCAGGACCTATCCGAAGCTATATAGGTTCCAGACTGCAAAGCAAAAGAAAAGAGAAAAATCGAAGCATCTGAGTTTGTTTCAACTTCAGAAAGTTTCGAGATTGCGCTCCAAATGTACTTCCTCAGGCCTTGTCAATGCTCCAAAGTATGAATGTACCTCTACCTCAAGTTCAAGCTCAAGCTCAAGCCTGCTTCAAGCCAGGATGGCAATCAGAAGTGCTCTCCCTGAGTACCATTCCCTGCAAGAGGTATATTGGTTGTGTTTGCAATGAGTTCCTAAGAGACCAACTATGACGGTGGAAACTAGAGTTCCAATGGCTGATGCCTAAAACACAAAGGTTCGGGATTTTCAAGACAAAAGTCTGGTTTAATACCCAGGGGTGTATCCCCGGCTTGAAATCTGTATGGAAGCCCCATAGGTTGAGGTAGCAGGTATGCACCTCAATTTTGGATATTGAACCAACCTAGTCTGTCACCCCGTTAGAGAATAGGGAAAGTTGTGAACATGGCCAGGAAAAAAGGTAGTTCCTGTGGTTTTTAAGCACAAGATACAGAAGCAAGAGATCCCCAACAACACAAGGTGAAATCTCCAATCTACCCCGAATCTGCCATTGTTGGCCGATGAAATTAATTTGTGGCCGATGGGTGGCCGGTGGCTTCCTGGAGTGGCCAGTGGACCTCTGATGCTCTCCTTGGTTATTGTTTTGCTGTTTTGTGCCTGAATCCCTTAAGAAAATGCAAGGGAAGTACATTTTTTAAGCTCAAGTGGCCTGCGCGGAAGCTCCGGACTGTGATTTCAGCATGTGATGCTCAGCACGTACAAGGTGTATCCTTTTTAATACGTTGCAACTCTTCCGGGAGGTAAATCGGAAGTTGCTTTCGAGTTGTCTTTATCGAGCATGCTGTTGTTGTCACATAGCATTTGCATTTTGCATTGAACATGTATTCTAAGTTGTTGCATAGACCGTGCATTACTATGTTTGCATGGAACATGCATTGTTGATTATCTTGCATTGAATATGCATTATTGATTATCTCGCGTTGAATAAGCTGTAGACACCCCATTTTTGACCATCCTCAAGACTTGGACGTCACCATTGGAACACTTGGTGATTACCTTTGTTTGTGTTCGTCTTGAGTTCCCGGAGGTCTCGGTTGCGCGCCTTGCCTTAGGATCTCTCGACTTGACCGTGTTGTGTCTGTGGGATTTAAGCTTTTGGGATTTAAGCCTTTTTTTTTTGGGGGGGGAGGGTGTGTTTGGGGCTCGAAATTTTCATTTGGTGCTATTTTTTTTTTTTTCAGTTGTACCTTTCACAACATCAATTGCGTATCGTGAAAAGTGCAATATTTTAAACGGCTCACTTTTTGTGAGTCGTGGAAAATGAAATTTTTAACGGTTGGCTTTTCGTGCACCGTGAAATGTTCAATATTTTTAACAACTGGTGTATGCAAGTCGTGTATAGTTGATGTATTAACGGCATACCATATACACGTCATAGAAAGTTATATTATTTACGGTTAACATTGCATGCCGTAAAAACTCATCGTTATTAGCATTTACGACCTACGCAATGACATGTTGTGGTTTAGAAATTATTTACGACATGTAAAAAAAGCAAGTCGTAAAAGTGAAAAACCACGGCTTGCATTTACTGTATGTCATTGATGTGAAGCCGTAAAAACTCAGTTTTGTTGCAGCGGTTATTCAAAATTTTATGGGATCGCTTACTCAAATTTGTTTTATTTGCACATTTTTGTGAGATTACTTATGTCATTTCGTAAAAACTTACGTGATTTTATATTCCTAAAAAAAATTATGAGATCATTTACGGAAAATTTGTGTTAATTTACATATTTTTGTAAGATTAATTAAGTGAGTTTGTGAAAGACTTAAGTGATTTTGTGTTGTTCAAAATTTTATGAGATCACTTACTCAAATTTATGTTAACTTACGCATTTTAATGATATCACTTACGTGATTTCATGAAAATTTACGTAATAATTTTATGTTCTTAAAAATTTTATGAGATCACTTATGAAAAATTTGTATTAACTTGCACATTTTTATGAGATAATATATTTATATATAATAAAATCTATTTTTTTAATATGATTGACTTGTAAGTTGACATGCTTAACAGGTTAACAACTATCATCTAATCAAAAGGATAAAGCTGGCTGATAATAGTCAATAGAAAGCTGACCACAAAAGCCCTATGTAGTATATATTTACTTATATTCTTTATTTTGAGATTTTGTGTCATATTAGTTTCTCTGTAATTTTTGCTTACAATTATGCACCAAAAAAAATTAAATTAAATAAATTGAAATAAAGTTAATTATCTTGAAACTAAATAATTGAGGTGGACATATGACCCGCCAGAAACCATTGAAAACCCACATTTGATAACATAATGATTTAGAGAGATAGTGGAATAAATATAATACTTTTAAATTTTATTTATAAATTATCAACTTTTAGGTCTAGTTCGGGAAGACTAAATAAGTGTACTTTTTGACTTTTTATGAAATATGGGTTGGGTTTAGGTTGGGTTTGAAGTGATGTGTTAGGCCAAGTTTGGGGACTTTAAAAAAAGCCAAAAAGTCAAAAAGTTACTCAAAAAGTTAAAAAGTTAACACTATTCACCAAAAGTCAACAATTACGGCTGCACAACTCCCAATCCTAATTTTCCCCTACAAACCAATTTTTACAATTTTTTATTTACAATTTTTTATTACACATTTTTTAATAAAAAGTCAAAAAGTTAACCCAAACATCCATATTTTCAACCTCAATTTTTTAGTTCAAAAAGACAAAAAGTGCACTTTTTTAGTCTTCCCAAACTTGGCCTTAGAGAGGTGATGTGACTTAAATAAAATAATGTGACTTAAATAGGATAGTGACTTTTTGACTTTTTATCTTTTTTCAATCATGCCAAACTTGACCTTAATTTAAGATGAATTGCGACAAATGAGCCCAAAACATAAAGAAGATCATAGTGATCAGCTATAATACTGCTTTTTACAATACCAGCCCATGAAAATGGACCATGAATTAAAGAAATCAGAGTTGATTGAGACAAAAACACAAAAGCACTTGCTCATATATTATACTTGGGAACACCAAGATGCAACAACAACAAAGGAAAAAGAGCAAAACAACAATGAAAAAAAAAGAGTAGAAAACAACAAATAAGCACAATAAGAACAAGTGCCAAAACCACAATGCCAACAAGTGATCCAAGCACATATTTACAACTTTGCCAGGTTGCCAAAATACCCTCTGAACATGTAAAATTGAAACTAATTCACATTATTTAGGCATTGCTCCTGGATGATCCAAGGGCTTTAACTGCGGCGGCTCTCAGGATGTACTGGTGATAGAAGGCAGCGATGGCGGCTCCAATGAATGGTCCGACCCAGAAGATCCACTGAAATAATTAACATCACAAAACAAAGTTAAAACATGAAAATTAAGGTATAATATAAGTACTATGTATAAGACAACATAGAATTAAAAGAGAGGGGTGGAGGCAAGTACTTGATCATCCCAGGCTTTTTGTTTGCCGTAGACCACGGTGGCGCCAAAGCTTCGGGCTGGGTTGATGCCAGTGCCGGTGATTGGGATGGTCGCCAAGTGAACCATGAACACAGCGAATCCAATAGGGAGTGGTGCCAAAACCTTTAATTCCAAAGATAAACATGTCATAAAAAACTCTAACTGTTCAAAATTAATTTGTTATGCAAACTAGTTAAATTTGAACAAATTTTGAAACTAATTAATTTTTTTAGCTTGACTTGAATAACTCAAATCAACAAGTTTATATAAGATTAAAGTATTCTACCATATAAAAAACTAAGGTACTTGAGCTCAATTTGCGATCAATTCAACTGAAGCTGCTTGATTTCCTAACCTCAATTGGCAAAATCATTGTTATCCTAATTTACAACCATTGAAATCTTGCAACATTTTTAAAAATAGAGTACAAAGTTATATTCTTGGATCTATATGCCAATCCTTAAATTACCTACTTCCTTTTTTTTTTTGGCTTTTTCTTTTTTGTAAGTAGATGAATAGAAGAATAAAAATTGCATAGCGTAATAATAAGACTTGAATTAGTACTAATATATACTTACAGGGACATGAGAATCGCGGGCATTTCTCTTGGGATCGGTAGCAGAGAAGACCGTGTAAACAAGGACAAAAGTGCCGATAATCTCAGCAGCGAGTCCAGTGCCGGTGCTGTACCCAGAAGAGAGCTCGTTGGCTCCACCACCATACTCGACGTAGTAGGCCTTTTGGAATGCCTTCACCAACCCACAACCACATATGGCACCCAAGCACTGAGCCACAATGTACAGAATGGCTCGGACCAGAGACACCTTCCTGGCCAGCAACAGACCAAATGTCACTGCTGGGTTAATGTGCCCCCCTGCATATATAGTTTACCAAAAACCACCATTAATTTCCCTGAAACTTCAATATGAAACTAAGAAAATATGGAACTCCGTATATTGATGTTGTGATTTCAATATTGGAAAAAAATTTCAAGTGTCCTAGAGCACACAACAATAGTCAGGTTTGAGTCAATTTAACTTGCCTTTTTTTCTTTTAATTTTTTTGAGTCAATTACAAAAACACCCCCTAATATATATTTAAAATAAAGATTGTCTCCTATAGTTTGAAAAATTACAAATATCTCTTTGTAATAATTTTTTATTTAACAGAATTAACTAGAAAAATTAAATTTCTAACTGCTTTCTTATATAATAATATAATTATTTGAATTACGAATTTAAATATATTTATGACATTATTAAAATTTGTTAATTGAATTGATGATTTATTGATAAAATGAGTCATTTGTTATGAAATTAGGAATTTCAGAGGGTGGAATGTAATTTCTAAAACCATAGAAGTAATTTATATTTTAAATAAATTTCAAAAAACGTATTCATAACTTACTCTTATTTTTTTTTATATTGTTTTTTTTAATTCACCTTACTTAGTGGATCAAAATTCATTACTTTTCAGATCCATAATGACTAACTAGTTAATTTAAAAATTAAAAAAAGAAATAATTCAATTTTAGCATTATTATACTTTTGTTTTCAAAATTGACTCAAATTTTGTAATTTTTAGAATAGTTTAATTGAGATGGACTTAAAAAGTTCCACCAAAAAAAAAAAAAAAAAAATTCAAAAATAAGTTGAAAAGTTATGTTGATTATTTAAGTTTTAGCCAATAAAGAGGAGATAAAATCGATCTCATCCAAAAAAAATAATCATCTTGCTTGGTTTTAATTTTCTAAAAACACTTTTCAAAAAATTCTACTTTCTTATTATCCGTATTTTTTTACTTTTACTGAATTTTTTTAATATTTTAAACAATTTTTTTACTTTTTAGACACTTACTATAACTACACCTAAAAAGTAAAAAAAAATTGTAAAAAAAATCTTTTAAAAATTCACTAAATATCAAAAATACAAAAAAATACAAGAATTTAGTATATTTTTTATATTTTTATGTATTTTTTAATTTTTTAAAATATTTTTTCACAAGTTTTTTACTTTTTAGATATATCTAACTAAGGTGTATCTAAAAAAGTAAAAAAATATTTAAAATTTTAAAAATATTCACTAAAAATAAAAAAATACGAAAATAAAAAAATTTAATTTTCAAAAAATTTAAATCAAAAAATTCAAACCAAACACACTGAATAATTTTTGGCGTGGCATCACTAATTAGCAAGGACGGGCGAGATATCTTAAATTTCACAAAATTTTCATTAGCCCAGTACAATTTTGAATATTTATAAAATAATTAAAAAAAAAAATCTTTTAACCTCCCATTCTTGCTCAAAAGTGTACTTGAAACACAAAACACTTCATTAATTTCAAAATTTTATTTTTAACTTTCACTATTTCCAAACACTTTATATGAGTTTAATATTAAACTTGTTAGCATTTGTAATAATTCTATTTCAACCCTTTTAAACTTTACAATAGTATCATTAATCTCATGCAATTCAGAGTGTTTATATATTAAAAAGAAGGTAAATTACAAATGCATCCTTAAGATTTATTTAAAATATGAATTGTCTACTGTAGTTTTAGAAATTACATTCATCTTTGATGTTTCTAATTTCATAATAAATTGTTCATTTTATTAATAAATCATCAAATCAATTAATTATTTTTAATAACATCATAAATATATTTTATTTAATAATTTAGATAATTTTATTGTTATATAAGAGAATCGTTAGAAATTTCATTTTTTCAGTTAATTATGTTAAATATATTTTTTTGAAAAATGAGTATTTATAATTTTTTAAATTACATGAAATAATCTATAATTTAAACAAATTTCAAGGGGTGTATTTATAACTTACCCCTAAAAAAAATAGCATTTTCTCTTCCAAATACATAATATCACTTATGCCCCTTAAAATCTAAGTAATTTTACATTGATCCCCTCCCACAAATTTCTGAATCCCCCCCGTTAATAAATAATAAAAAAAAACAATCCCAGCGTTCTGAAACTACTGAATAATTATCATCCGACAAACAAGTACTCACCAGAGATGCCTGCAGTGCAGTAAACGAGGACGAAGATCATTCCACCGAAGGCCCAAGCAATGCCAAGGATTCCAACACCACCACAGGCATCAGTAGTCTTGGTTGGGTCAGTTTGGCTCTTGTAACCAATCACAGTCAAAACAGTAATGTAGAGGAACAAGAGTGTTGCTACGAACTCTGCAATGGTGGCTCTATACAATGACCACAGTGTCAGCTCCTCTGCATCTATCAATAGCGCCGGTGGTGGGTCTTGGTAGTCCTTCGCCGCGTACTCGCCGCCTCCCACTTCTATGTCCTTTGCCATGGCTAGTGTGTGTTTGTGTGTATGAGAGAGAGAGAGAGAGTGTGTGTGTGTGTGTGTGTGTGTGTTTTGGGGATGAGAGTAGTTTGATGGCTGTTTGAGAGACGAGGCAAATGTGGGTATTTATGGGAATGTCTTAACATTAATTAAAGTTTATTTTTTGCCGCCCCATTTTTTTTATATTTATTTTTGATTAATTTCTTTCACTTTCAGTGCTTTAGTGACCCCACCTCTTTATAACCTCTTCATTTTTGAGGTTCCATTTATTAAGAATTTTGTAATATAATGAAATATTTAAATGGATTAAAGGAAAAAAATAGAAATGATTTTTTTTTTTTTTAAATTGTTCAATTTATAAGAAAGTTTATGTACAAAAAATATTTGAACTTTACTTTCAACTAGAAAATGATTTGGGAGAATGAAACAGAAATTTGTGATTTGACTCATATTTTTCTTACAACAATTGAACATACATATTAAAGAGTTTTCACCTTAGATACTCTTTCATAATTTGAATCATTCATTTTAGGAGACTCATTTAAAAAATTATATATGTAAAAAATTTAATAGATTGGATATTGGTAGCCACGGATCAGATCTTATTCATTAAAAAAATGAATAGCTAATATGATTTTGAGAATAAATTGTTTAACAAAAATGAAGTGATTATATCTAACTAGCAATATCCAATCAACTTACTTTTTTACATAAATAATCTTCTTGGTGAGCTATATAAAATTAACTATTTGAATTGTTGAGATAAATTCAAAATGGAGCCTATCGAAAGACATAGTATTGTAAGAGACAATAGCAACCCTTACCCCGTATAATGAAAAAGTATTCTATGTCTCAAGTGTATCACATTAGTGCATCCGTTACTTGAAATACTCTCCCCATATTAGAAAGAAATACATTACTTTTAAATATTTTTATTTTTTGGCTACTCATTAGAACTTACACCATCATAATCTAAGGAGAAAGGGAAAGGAAATCACCCCCAATGCCTCACATGAGGCTCGAACTTACAACTTCCAACCACAAGATCAAAATCTATCAACTCTATATATATATATATTAAAAGAAATTCTTTAATATTTCCACTAATTATTATTAGGATAGATCACTTCTTAATTAACCTTTTTAATTACCACCTATGTTGAAATAAAATGACATGTTTTATGTCATTTATCGGTGTTGCTTTCTTAGCCTTTTGATTGCTTTGATGTTTTATAATAGGATGTTTGCTATCTATTCATATTTTATATTATCTAACAAGTAACATCCATTAAGTCCCACTGTCCTACTAAAGAAATAAGAAGAATAGTTATTGCCAGCTCAACCAAAAAAGGGGGGGCAAAATAACATTAAAAAAAAAACCCCAAATGATAATCCAATTTTTACTTTAATTGGTACAATAATTGCATTCTAAGTATAATATATTAATTAGCAGCATGCACTAAAAAGTTGATTAACAATATTAGATTCCAAATAAAATAGTGTGTTAGGTATTGCTAAGAAAATTGATGATTTCACCGTAGCTGAGATATGATTTAAAATTAATTAATTAATTAGCAAGCACAAATAGTCAAATCTCATTAGTAATTAAAAAAAAAATTGGGAGAAAGTTTTGTGTCCACTTAATTTTCATTAATTTATAAGCCTAGAGGCACTTTATTAATAAAAAAATTACTATATTGCATTACTTTTTTTCTTTTTCTTTTTTTTCTTTTTTTTCGGAGTTAACAAAATCATTTTACTGAGTAAAATGTAAAATATCCTTCCGACACTGCCATCACACACAAAAGTGCAATAAATTTTTATACAATAATACTTTTGCGATTAAATTTGAATTTGAATATATTTTATATTATTTGTGAGTGATGCATAAGTTGATGTTCAAAATTTGGTGACTACATTACTCTCTTAGAGCATTTCCAACGGTTCACCAAAATTTTCATCAAATCTGAGTAAAAAAGTGACTTTTTTCTCATTTTGATACGGAGGGCTCCAATGGTTCATCAAAGCAAATTTTCATCAAATCTGTGCGGGGACAACCCGTTGGTCGACCGGTGAAGGCAAATTTTTTTTTTGAATTGTTTGAACCTTTTCAGTGAACTGTCTGAACCTTTTTCCGGGTCGACCGGCTGGTCGACCGGTAAGGCAAAAAATTTTTTTTTTTTAACTGTTTGAACTTTTTTTTTGAACTGTTTGAACCCTTTAGTGGTCGACCGGTTGGTCAACCGGCTGATCGACCGGTTGGTCTCCCCCAACGGTCAGGAACATTGATTTGGTGAAATGTTGCGCCTGTTCTCATTTTGCTGAAAGGTTTGGTGAATTCTCGATTTGATATCGATTTGGTGAAACCATTGAAGCTTAAAAAAGTGACTTTTTTACCAAATTTTAAATTTAATGTCAGGTTTGGTGAAGCGTTGGAGATGATCTTACAAAACATTGACATTGTACGAATGTAGGGGTTGGTTGGAATCCCCAACAATAGCCATCAGTTTAATTGAAATATAAAACAATTTTTTTTTATTTGTTTATAAAATTAAGATAAATTATATTGATTTCTTTTGAGATTATGAAGAAATACAAAAACTAAAATAAAATAAAATATAAATAAATGAATAAATAAATAAAATCACAAATTTAACATAATTACATTAAGTTTTCTCAAAATTCTAATTTACAAATTACTAAACTCCCTTTTTATCAATAATTATCAGTCATGGATGAAAAAATAGTTGCATAAGTTTTAGTCATTTTAATCTTATTAAAAGAGAGATTAGTACAAATTATGTCAATTATACTTTTTTTCAAATTTCGTGAGAGATTAGTGTAATTTATTCATAAAATTATATTCCAACAACCTCATTTTATTGGTTCACTCTCTTAATTTTTTGTTGTTTCAAAATAAATGTTCAATTTAAAAAGTTAAAAATTTAAATTTAAAAGTTTCTAAAATCATTCCTTATAAAATAATTATAAATATATTAAGAAATAAGAATAAAAGGATATTTTTAAAAATAAACCATTAAAACTTGAATTTAAAAGTGTAGTGGTTATGTTTTTTTTTAAGTGTGAATTTTTAAAAGGAACTATTTGAATGGAAGGGAGGGTTGATTGATCGAAATAAAATTCTTTTTAAAGAAAATTATTAGTTAGTTTTAGGAGATTAAATGGTCATAACTCAAATTAATTATAAACTTTTATATTTTTTTAATTATGTAATATAAAATTGTGAGTTTCGCGTCACGTAACACAATCTGAACTAATCAATAATTTCTTTTTTTTTAAAAAATTAACACATTATATGTGGTGGCTGCAGTGCCACGTATTGCAAGATCCACCCACCAAATATTCACACGAGAATTGTGTGGTGGGGACACATAACACATCACCGACCATCGTCATCATCACCAATTGATAAATCAATTTCAACGTCAAAATCACATTCACCTCCACCGTCCATCCAACTCAGTCTCTCCACAACTCTTTCCACTCCATCCTAACCAGTCACATCCTGCCACGTCTGCTCAATCCAGCCGCCACCCCCTCCCCCTGCCCCCCAAATCATTTGCATTAACGTAAATCAGAATGCTCTGCTCTGTTCTTCCGTAAATCATCCTCTTCATGTTTTATAGGCTCCTTTTGGTAAGTTAGTTTAGAATTATTTTAGTCACAAAAAAATAAAATAAATTATTTTAATCACAATAAATAAAATATTACGTTTAATCCATAATCATTACACTCTTTTCTTATAAAAAAAATCAAAAAAATTAAAAAAATCTTTCCAAAATCAAGTTTTTAACCTAGACTAAAAAAATTAAAAAGTTACTCCCTCCGTCCCATAATATTAGTCCCTTATTCCATTTTTCATTGTCCTAAAATATTAGTCCCTCTTCAAAAATCAAGTACAAAAATAATATAAATTTCCCATTTTGCCCTTCTTTTAAATTCATAAATAATATAAAAAGTACAATTATGACATTGATATTCTCAAAAAAGTGTACTATCAAAGGGTAATTTTGGAAAACGGTTGAAATTCTAAGCATTTTTCATTTGAAAATAGGAACTCATCGTGGGTAGACTGCCACGTGTCAGGCAATGGTCAATTGTACAAGTGGCAGTGTGGTTTGTGTTGTGGAATTTTTGTTTGTTATTTTATGAAATTTTTTACTAATGATCAGAGTTGGTGAGAATAACTTTTTCTTTTTTAATAAATTAGTGAATTTCAGTAGAAAACTCAATTAGGAACTATTTGTTGCAGTTTTTATAAATTGATTCTAGTTTATTTTAATTTAGGATTCAATGTTAGATTATTTGATTTAATTTTTATTTGTAATTTATTAGACAGAAATACCTTAAATAAGTTTTAAAAAATTAATTATTTAAAAATTAGGAAATGAATGCTTTTAATTTCAACTTTTTTATTATCGATTTTTAAGTTAAAAAAAGTTACACCAAACAGAGTTTAGTATTGAGAATCGTCTTCACAAAATTATGAATTATTTCAAATTTAATTTCCTTTCTAATATAATATGAAATAAAATCGACTAGTCTAATTCGATTGGTTAGAACTTTTACATCTCATTAGGATATCAATGATTTGAATCTTTTCACTTACGTGTGAGTCTTATTAATGTGTATTTATTAAGATTTATTGAAATTTTCGCTTCTACTCTCACAGTTTTTTTATTTATTTATATTGTATATTGTATTTAATTTTCATCATTATAATTGTAATTTATTAGATTTGAATATAATATTATATATGAATCAAATCAATATATATTTTATAAAATGGTAATAACATTTTGCATTCCATTTTTTTTTTATAATTACAGTCCAAAATATTTCATTTAGTGTGCCTTAAAAATTATATTAGGTATATAGAAAACAGCAATGGTTGGTGACCTAAAATTCAGTGGCTCGAAACAGTCAAAACGACGTCGTTTTGGCACAAAACGCAGTTTCGAGCCATTTGAGCCACTGATTTTGTAACCCTCAAACAATATTTTATAGAAAAACATATGTTCAAAAAAAAATGTATATACAAAAACATAATAAAAAGTTTACTTATAAAAAAAA